AAAAGAAGCTTTGATTTTTAGAAAATATATGCTTTCAATTCTAGTAAATCTTCTATTGTACAAATTTGTATATGATGACAATTTCGGTACAATGTCCCCTCCAAATTCATTCCATTTATAAACGAACAAAAAGATAGAAGAACTCATTTTTCCAATAGTCCGACCGCGAGACTTTCTTCTAAATTACCAACCTATCCTTGAAGGAAAACATCAAATTCCTTTATCTACGTCGACACATTGGACCAAAGTTAAAACTTCTCCTTAAAACTTTCTCTCTCAAAGATTTTCCAAAGATTAGAAGTTCTTAGAAACGGGTCGGGGTTTTTTTTTCTGACCGCAGAAATTCCCACGATTGAGAGGGCAGATAACGCTATCGATTAGGAAATAGACCCGAAAATAAGCGTGGTTTTCACCAAATTGATGGATGACTTCTTCTCATTGGTTGTTAATAACACCCACCCCAAATAAAGTCTGGCAAACGCCTTATCATTGGATCTGGTTTAATTAGATTAAGATGGAAACTTGTGGCTCCGGTGAACCCCAAAGTGGTGCTTGAAGTCGTGTAATAGGGTCTATCAACCCCCACAATCTTGTACCAGAAACCGTTAGAAGATACCTATCTAGGGGTTAGTTTAAAGGACACCGAATTGAGCATAAAATGGCAGCTTTTAAGAAAGTTGAGAAACCTTATGATCCCATAAGGAACAACGGCGTCTTGTAAAAGGGCCTTTGTCTTTAGAAGGTCATCGCAAATCTTATAAAAGTAAGTGTTAAGTGATGCGCATCAAGAGGTCAGTTGTAAGGACGCCGAATTAAGAGTAGAAATTGTGGCTTTTACGACGGTAAAGACATTGTGTGATGATATGACATGATATATCAAAGAAGTTCATCTCTTAAGATGTTTTTCCTTAAGGGTTACCGGAAGGTTATTTAGAAGAGCTCATGATATCATTGTCTTTAAGTGCTTTGGGTGATTCAATTTTTGAGAAATTTTTTTTTAAATTAAAACTTATGTAAACTTTTAAAACCTCATCATGTTTCGTTTTTTGTACCAAATATGATATACTTTGATTTTGAAAAAAATATGTGATTGTAATTTGCTTCCACTTTTCAGCATATGTATGCTGAAAAGTGTATTATGATGATTATCCTTGGTTCAACCTATACTTTTTTCAGAAATGGCCAGAAATTTGGCCTTTTTGTATCCTCCTATGTTATATAATGCATAGTAGGTAGCGTGGCATGGTAGCGCACTCTGTACGAATATACAAGTATGATAGCACACCAAACATTGAAATCACAATATTTTATGGTCATTTGAATGTCTAGTCCATAGTCCAATGTATCAACTATGTTTGTAACTATATAGCTAATGCATTTGGCACAATACATATAATAATCATAATTGTAACGTAGATACACAAAATAAATAAACACTAGACAAGCAATATAATACAATAAAATCATACCTGTATTAAATTGAAATACAACCATGGGCTACGACCTAAAATATCATATGATCGTCTCCATACCATACAGTAAAAAGTATAATTATAGTACCACATAATACAGTAAAAATGATAATTGTATAATATTGCCGTAGGGCTCTCATCATAAGGTACATGCTTGATGACTGGACCTAATTAGCTTTCATCAAATATGGCACGCACTTAGGCTTATTGAATATTGAAAGGGTCTAAGTTCCATTAGATGCATATGTGTGGGTAGTAACCAGGACGTACTAATCTCATTAAAAGGAAAAAGACGCTAGGTCTGTACAGAAATGAACCAGATTTAAACAAGTGCACGTTTTGTCTATGTGTTAGGAAAGTACCTATAAATACGGCTGCGGTCGGTAGTTGTTATTGTTGTTTTTTTTGTTAGAACTCGGTCCATTACGATCGTAGTACGATCGAAGTAAGATCGCAAACGAAGCATTTGGGATAGTCTTGCATGTGTCCTTTGGAATACAATTGTTACGGAAAGGCTGGATTAGATCCTTGTCTGTGGTTAGTTCTGTTACAGCCTGTTTGAAAAATGTCACGAATTTGGAATCGCTGTGATTTGTTATTTGTGACACTGAAATTTTATTTGTAGACGCGGGTTGGAGTAGATATCTTCGCATTTGGATTGATATCAAGGCATTTTGACACCTTTACAATTGGGATACGACTCTATACAATACATATATTGATGTTTCCAAGCCTAAATTTTCTTATAATTTCACATGCACGTACAGTTTATAAAACCGCATTAGGGACACGTTGGACACATATTCATGTACAACTTTTTAAAGAATGCCTTCAGTTTGTGATCGTAGCCTATATATGTCTATAACATTTCTTTTTAAATTGCAACATTTCGTGACTAGACATGGTGACGGCACACTCAAGTTATATCAACTTATTTTATGCCACCACCAACACAGAGACCAAATACAAGACAATACTCATTTTCACTTGAGTAAGTATAAGGTGAGGAAAGTCGTGTAAAGTGTCTTTCCCAGGGGCACAAGATAGGTGACATATCAGGACTCGAACCCGGGACCTCTTGGTGCCAAGTCGAGCACTCTGCCGTTACGCCACATGACCCCGCTATCATTATATATATAGATATGTGACATTATCTAACAAAGTCGCGAATTTTTACAGACCTTTCCCAACGAAAGCTCACATGAAGTCTGACTTTTCTCTGAAGCACACACGACAAGATACGCGTCACAAATTGGAATTCGCAAACTTTATTTTTCGAAGTTTCAGTAGCAGGCGTAAGACCCAAGCTCTGCAGCCTGTGTGCCAGCGCGTGTCGGCTTCACGCCACAGCGCCTTTATGGGCGAAGTGAATTAGCACGGCGTCTTGTCGCTGTCCAAACCGCCTTCCGTTCAATTAAAACGGAAAATGGATGAGGTCCTGCTTCATGTGCATATCATGCATTCAAATTGGGCCATAATAGACCCCACAAGGGACAGAAAAGATTCGCCTTTTCATTTGGTAACGAACACTGCTATGTTGTTGTGCAAGGGTCCGGAAACATAATGCTCTGTTGTATGTATCTGTTCTGTATCCATTCATTTATTATTCGTATGTGATTGTCCTGTCAAATATATTTATTTTTCATAATGTATGACTGGCGGCAAAATGTTTTTTTATTCCAAAATTTCATGACTAGACATGGAGACGGTACACTCAAGTTATATCAACTTATTCTATACCGCCACCAACACAGAGGACATACAGGACAGGACAACACTCATTCTCACTTGAGTTAACTGATGAAAGTCGTGTTAAGTGCCTTTCCCAAGAGCACAAGATCGGTGACATGTCAGGACTCGAACCAGGGACCTCATGGTTCCGAGTCTAGCACGCTGCCGCTGCGCCACACGACCCAATATTCCTGCCTGTATCTGTCTGTGCAGGCTTCAGCGCCGGAGCAAAGCTAATTAGAAAGACCCATCCCGCCCTAACAACTCTTTAAAACAATTAGAACATCCCTGATGAATCCCAGGAGCCAGGGAAGCGGAAGAGAGAGCACTGGCAGCGGAATTAAAAACCACTGGCGAGAGGAGGTGAAGATAGCTCCCACGTAAAATCGATATGATGCCATTATGTCATTTTGGGACCGGCTAGCTGCACACACCCCCCCCCAAGGGTCATAAAAAGTTCATAACAATATCGATATACTATGTGTCGTCATCGCTGGTGACGTAGAGATTCGAACTCGGGACGTCTTGATTCCGAGCCGAACGCCACTCGACCCCACTGATTTGATGTGGTATGGTAGCTCTCTGTCTCTCTCTCTCCCTCTCTCTCCCTCTCTCTCCCTCTCTCTCCCTCTCTCTCTTTCTCTGTCTCCCTCTCCCTCACTCTCTCCCTCTCTGTCCCTCTCTTTCTTTCTCTCTGTGTCTCTCTCTATCCCTCTCTCTCTCTCTGCCGCTCTCTTTCTCTCTGCCTCTCTCTGTCTCTGTCTCTCCCTCTCCTCTCTCTCTCTCACTCTCTCTCTCCCTCTCTGTCTCTCTCTCTCCCTCTGTCTCTGTCTCTCCCCTCGCCCCTCTCTCTTTCTCTCTATCTGTCTCCCCCCCCCCTCTCTCTCATTTTCTTGCTTTGGGTGGCTGAACTGTAGATTTGTGTATCTGGCTGTCAGGAGAGAGTAGGTTGATTCCACGTGGGTGGGTGGATTGACAGTCATAATAACAGCGGTCAGCTGCCTCAAAATCTAGCAGGAAGGAAATAGGGATTAGAGATCGACATGGAACCCGAGGATTGCATAATTCCCTGACGTCTTGTTTCAATCTGATGCATACATAATACTGTAATAATTTTAATGTACAGAGAGAAGTTGGTCTTGGTTGTGTTAAGGCTATTAGAAGCTGCGGTTTTATGAGGCTTAACTAAGGGTATGGAATAAGTGCGAGCAACAAACACATATTTGGAGTAGTTGTACCCACTGCTTAAATATGAATTGTCTTTCTGAAAACAAACATGTATGAATTAAGTAAAAGAGTTATTAAAATAATGTATGCGTGGGGCTCTGATGACAAGTGGCGTTACAACAGCGCCTTCTATCGACGTTTGGTAGAACTACAGGGTTTGAAAGACCTGTCTAATAGCGTTATATGTGCAGTCGACGACCAAGTCCAGGTGGAAGCGTCATCTAGCGGTTTTCTGAAGCTCTGCAAGTGTATCTCCAAGACCCAATGATTTACGTCAACGCTGTGTTTGACTGCTAAAAACGTGAAATGTCACCGTTTCTTTTCACATATCTTTCTTTACTTAGATTATTGTGAATAGATATACTGAAGACGAAAAAGCAGACAATAAAGATGTTGACATTATAGGGCCCAGTGATTTAATGTCTATTGGCAATATATTGCTTTAGCGAAAACTTTGAGTCTCTTGTAGATCAATGAAGTTACCAACGAAAGTAATGATGTCGTGGTACATATACATGGTTTAAGTTCGAGCACTCCGGGCTCTGTTAAGGCCCATAAGGTTTTTGTCGTTGCGGGCCTTAGTAGTTTTAGGCAACGCCCCACGTCCCAAATATGGAGCGGTGCATTACAAATATGCAGGGGCACACATGTATGGAACACTTAATCTTTTCTCTTTTCTTAAATCGTGCAGAGATGTTTAAAGTGGAATAATGGTGATTATATTATTTCTATTGCTTAAGGCGACAGTTTTTGGAACCCCGACTTGAGTTTTCCTTTCTCTGCTGGTTTTGTTTCCAAGTCCCCGATGTCTCCTTCATGAGTGTGGTAGAAACGATTAAAGTTGGCAACTATAACCGGAACCGGAAGTGCGAGTGCGAGAACGCCGGCGATGGTGCACAGCGTCCCGATCAGTTTACCTCCCAGGGTCTTCGGTATCATGTCGCCGTAACCGACCGTTACCATGGTGACGATGGTCCACCAAAATGCCGACGGGATGCTCTCAAAATCGCTGTCTTCTTTCCCTTCTTCCATCAGATAGACACAGGTGGAGAACAGAAGGGTGGCAAGGACAAGGAAGAACGACAACAGACCCAACTCTCCCAGACTGGACTTGAGAGTCTTCGCGAGAACTTTCATGGCGCCAGAGTGACGGGTGAGCTTGAAGATTCGAAACACTCTGACCAATCGCGCCACGCGGAAGATGTACTCGATTTTAGTTGACCCCCTCCAAGCCAATCCAAGCCAGTTCTCAAGCCAATGCACCACAATGATGACCAGGATTTCTATGAAATATGGCAGAATGGCGAGCAAGTCTATAATGTTCATTGCTTGTGCGAAAAACTTTTTCTTGGATGGACATGAAATAGCTCGTATGAGAAACTCAAATAGAAACCACCCGATGCAGGTACTTTCTGTTAGAAAGAAGGGTTCTTCAAAGGCCTTCAGTAAGTCTTGTAGTGAGGACTTACGACTATGTGTAGGCTTCAAACTCGGGATGCTTTCAAGGCACAACACGCCTAGAGATATTATTATGAACCCGACTGACACTGAGGCCACAACTCGAGCAGCTTTGGAGCTTTGCGGATATTCGAATAGTAGCCAAAGATGTCTTAAAATCACGTTGTTTGGTAGCACCGTCTCTGTCTTGTCAAGAAACCCTTCATTCCTTCGGAGTCTCGACAAAGCTTCTTCGCCAAGATCGAAAAACTTCAGTTCCTCATAGAAGACGTCGAGAGGTACGCAAAGCGGTCGGTTTATTTTGCCTCCTGTTTGATAGTAATCCAAGATGGCGTCGAAACTTGGCCGATTCCTATCGAAGAAGAACTCGTCACGTGATTCGTCCCAGAATTCCATCCTGCGCATGGGGCTGCCCAGAAGCGTGTCCGGGTACCGGTTCAGTGTTCTCAAACAAGTCTCAAAGCGAAGTCCGCTGATGTTGATCACAACACGTTGCGAACAAGAAGAGGCAGTGGATGACGTCAGGGTCCATGTCGTCGGCCATTGGCTGTCGCTCAGTGCAGCAGATTCGTAGTCCCCGGATGTCATCCTCTGCGCGTGCGCGGACTCGTAGTCCCCGGATGTGGTCCTCTCCAAGTCCCCGGATGTTGTGCTTTCCTCTGGCATGGGTTCGTAGTCCCCGGATGTTATCCTCTGCGCAGGTCCCCCCGTCAATGTGGCTCCGATGTCGTCTATCAGCGTTCCTTTTGGCCAGGATTTCTGCCTGCCATAGTCGGAATTCCTCATCATGGCGACGGAATCGTCAGCTAATGACGACATCGTGATGCTTTCGTTGATCATCTTCTCATCTACTGGGCGGCGTCCAAATGTCGAACCGGGTCGGAATCTCAGTCGCTCCGCTAACTCTGAGTTATCGAATTCCTTTTGAGAGGGTCGATCGCCTTAAACCCTAGAGATGGATTTAGCATCAGACTTTGCGTGAAGGCTTCCGTGTCGCGCTCCCTGCATACCAGAATGTTCACCAAAAGCAGTTTTACCGAAAATGGCGGACGTGTATGGAAACGGGCGACGAGTCACCTACCTCAGAAAGTTGAAGGGTCCAAAGTGACAACCCATCGAAAATCACTGGCAAGTCGCTCCCAATTTACGGAATTCCTCCCATACGAATGCGCTGTGTTGTCGTAGAGTTCCTTGGTATTTTAACTGTCTTCCTTTCAGAGACAGAAGTAAACTGTGGTATTTTTCCTTGACCTAAGCTTGCTGATCGATCGCGTTTTCTTTCTTCCGCATGGGTGGCCGTGTGTCAACATCTTGCCAAGACATCTTGACATGGTCTCAGTGAGGTCTCATGGATGCTAATTAGGTTTGGTTTGACCACAAGACGACGAAGCCAGTCTCTGTTCCAGACACAAGTCCGTATCTCCAGACCTAGCCGGCTCTGGAAATAAAGCAAAGTAATATAATGTTAGATTTAAGCATCAAATAAATGATAAGTTTATTACAAATTCCTGCCCAAAGGCTAATAAAAAATAACAAATATAAAAGAACATTGAGATACGGTACAAGATAACTTCAAGATATACATAATAACACGAGGGAATTGTCTAAAACTATAGCTATGTATAGAACTATGTCTGGTCATTACATACCAAACTGTTCGGTATGTAATGACCACACAATAGAAAAACTATGTGAATTCATTTCCAGTTTCTTTAAAAAGAGAGAAGAAATCTTCAAGACCTAGATTAGATAAAATTCCTAAGATTTTACCTTATTCTTTTATCCTTCTATCCTATGTATTATGTTACTAAAGCCACAGCAAGTAAATTTTATAGATGGCATCCTCCGCAGACTTCACATTTAATGCGAGCGGGCGAAAAAAACCAAGGCGGGCCGAAAAAAGCAATGTTCCTACATTTTATAATTTTAACTCAATCATTGTACAAATGGTTTTGATTCAGTAAGAACATCACATATACAAATTAATTGCTGTGGCCTAAGTATGGTACATATATGTAACATTATACTCAGATGCATTTAGCCCCATGGGCACGAACATGCAAATAAAGAAGTTATTATATTATCTGTAACTACAGTAATGAAATGACATTACCCTGTATGGATATGGCATCATCACAGATGAAATTTATGGCTTTTACAGAACGGCTGCGAACGTTTGGAACATGTTTGGTACTGAGTAATAACCCGCCGCATACCTTTGGCTTAGTGACAGTGGGTCATACCATCATGCTGGTCGACTGGAGGGGGGCTATAATGATGTAATCTTGTCTGCTTTTATTATTTTCTACTTTCAGAACCGGATCTGATGTCTTAGTAGTACTTAACACGGAGAAGATGGGTGAAAAGATACGACAACTGCTCTTCGTGCATTTTTCAGAGAAAGTGGGTTCTTTAAAATGGTACCGGTAGTACAATGGCAATGATAACATATAGATAAAGTTGAATGAAATATATACCCGTGGTCTGATTAAAAGTTTGTTGGGTTTGGCTTCTCTTAATATTCCACAGATATTCTTTTGAGTTTCAGTCTATTACGAAGTGGGTCTGGTCTCAAAATATCTTGGTGATAGTCCATTGTTCCTTTCCATCTGTATTGTCTCTGAATACAGTCAGTTGAAAACTAGAAAGTTTACTTTCATTTGCAAAGCAAATGCACAATGTTTATCTTCGCATACTCGGTCAAACAAACTCCTGCTCTGTTAATTCTTTCATGGGATTAAAACATTCATAAATATGGTGACCAGCCCCTTCAACACTTGCTACATAATGTATACAACACCACAGGGTGTCTGATACAACACCAGTTACCATGGTGATACCTGTCTGATACAGGTCATTGACCTTTTGTGTTTGGAGAAGAAGAGGAACATAATATGTTTCCCTTCTGCGATGATAAACATATATATTCCTTATATTCCTGGCTTCGCAAAACTTCTACTTAGAATTTTCAGCCAGCCCCTTCAACACTTGCTACATAATGTATACAACATCACAGGGTGTCTGATACAACACCAGTTACCACAGTGATAGTGTGATACAGGTCATTGACCTTTCTTGTTTGGAGAAGAAGAGGGAAAACAATATGTTTCCCTTCTGGGATAATAAACATAGATATTCCTGGCTTCGCAAAACTTCTACTTGAAACATTCAGCCAGCCCCTCCAACACTTGCTACATAATGTATACAACACCACAGGGTGTCTGATACAACACCAGTTACCATGGTAATAGCTGTCTGATACAGGTCACTGACCTTTTGTGTTTGGAAAAAGAAGAGAAAGAAAAACAATATGTTTCCCTTCTGCGATAATAAAACATAGATCTTCCTGGCTTCGCAAAGCTTGCCCATCGAGTCACGTATTTTAAACTAAATCATTAAAAGAACGACACCATAAGCCAATTTCTATACGTACTACTTTATAAATAAATGATGCAATGAGGAAGGGCGAGGCATTTAAGGCACTTTGTACTCTATCCAAATCCATGGTAAGTGGGTTAACGACTTTACTGTGACGTAGGGAGAGAGGATAGTGACAAATTGCCCATCACGTAATGGGAGATACGCTGTCTTGGTGTCTTGTCACGGAAGTCTAACTTTTCCTTTAAAGGCCACACCGTCTTAATTTTATGGATGACATCCTCCGAGGACCCCAAACTAGTACTAGTGCGCGCAGGAGAATAAAAAAAATCCAGCCAAAAATAAAAATGCTACTAAACCACAGGAATACAAAGCTGGTATTGTGAATTTGCGGCAGTACGTAGCGACGTACATGTATACGACAAGCCGGCACATGCTGGCTTTTTGCGAAACTTATGATGAATCGGCACTGTACGTATGTATTGAGTTCTTGAGTCGTGGAGCTTCGGTAGCCTGGGTGCCTGGCTCCGTATTGTCCCTAACCACTATGGACTACCCAGGCCTAGAGCCAGGCCAGAGCCTCGGTGGACGTGATATTTTTTTTTGAGAACAGGCGAAAATCAATTCGCGCGCGGATGTCATCCATTAAATTAAGTCGGTGTGGCCTAAAGTTGTCCAATGCAGTTTGTAGGCTAGGAAACAGTTTTTAATTCAATGTTCTAGTCTTTTATCTACATACTGAGTTGAAACAACACTATCCTAATTTATGGAGCAAAAGTGCCGAAAATTGTGATGGAGAACGGGTACTGGTAGGATCCTGGGCTGATTTTGAGGTACGGCCCAGATAATAAGGGACTCATCTTATAGCATGTTTCTTGTTTTCACTGTTTGAAATGCCCAAAGTGAGAGATGCTTATGCAAATGCGTTAATGTGTCAATATCATACAGATTGTGTCACAGATTGACATTACGAGCAATCAAATGTAAGAAAATAATAATAAAAGATAATTTTTTGAAACATTATAATTTTGGCGAAAACAACAAATTCGCTACTTGTCTTAGATATTAACATATTACTGAAATTTAAAACTTTTTCGTTACTTTCAGTTATACCATTTACAGTACTCAAGAAGTTTACTAAACCTTTGCCGTTACTATGACAGCCAAATTAACTTAATTGATTGAAACGTTTTTTTCCACTGTCAATTTGCCAATAGGCTTTTCTGCTTGCGTGCGAATCTCTGTATGATGCTGTAAGCTGATTATATCATGCGGCAAGCGAAACCACTGATAGGTATATGTCAATACGATTTAGGCCACAGTAAGTGATTTGTATGGACGACATCAGCAAACGCATTAATTTTCGACTGATTTTGGAGAAAAAAAATTTGTTGCCCTCTGACAGTGGTCAACAAGCCGAAAATGGGCAAAGATGTCTGTTGCCATGCCGGAATGTGGATGGCAGATAACTATGAAGAGAGGAGACAAGACAAAGCTCTGATTTAATGTTTTGTCTTATACTTTAATGTACTTCATTTCTTTTCATATGTAATGGTGGCTGTGCATATTTGATTTTTTTCCACTGCATCAAACCTATTTGTAAAATGATTAAAAAGTTTTATTTTCCAAAGTTGTTTCAGTAAGAAATGAATGCTGTAATAGTTGGCAGTAAAATTACCACGATATAAGTATCATTTCTTGTTTGAAAAAGTTTATGTCAAAATTTGAAAATGCAGGAATCTTTCTTTTTGTGCCCGCCTTGTTTTTTTCGCACGCTCGCATTAGATTTAGAGTCTGCGGACGATGCCATCCATAAAATTTACTTACTGTGGCCTAACTCTGACACGAGAGGCCTTACTGCGACTATATCTCCCTTAAGCCTCACTTAATTCCCAGAATATCTGGGGCACGCATATGACAGCTCACTATATATAATTGCATTATATCTGCATTATCCCAAAGCACTAGTAATATTTGATTTGGGCGTGAAGAAATAGAGTAGATTTTGCTAATGGAAAACGATAATCACAACACACGATGAAGAAAATAAGTTATTTTTTTTCCAACCAAATAGTTTTTTTGTTCTTAGTCAAAAAGGGTGAATCCCAAGTATTTTGTTTACTATTAATATCTTCATAGCATTTCTTCATTATCAAAGTTGATTAAAATAAACTGCATAGTCCGACAAGCCGACGAGTATAATTATACTACCGGGAGTATTTCTTACAAAACATGTGCTATTTGATGACAGGTTCGCGTTAATTCACAGTGGGAAAGAAATGATCTATTTGCAATTTTTCTATCTGTATGATCTAGCTCCAATAGGGTATGGATCTACAAGCAGTGGGCGAGTAGCTATGACTATCTGTCGTTAGATTATACACATATCAATTTCCAAACGTCTTAATATTCTTCGCTATCAGTGTTTTATCTTTGATTTCATCCCCCTAAAAATTTCTTGTAATGGCAGATGTCCAAGTCAATAGGAAACAAGAAATATCGTCTCAGATTTTGGCAATGTTTCCAGTTTTCTCCTCTTCATACGTATACGTTAGATTTGAACTACTCTAGGAACCATTTAGAGAATGTGTTTCGCTTAAACTTCGAATAAAAAAGTGCGTGGTGTTCACTGACAGATTTAAAGCATGCATGGTCTAATACAGGAAACCAAACATTGTGAAGGTTTTGTACGTATTACTAGTACTTGGATTGCTTCCATCGCATTCTCCTATATTAGGGAGAAGGTCCAACTGAACTACAGCTCTCAACTGCAGTTGTCGGCTGTCCAACACATGGAGACCATATTTAGGAGACGCTACCCCATATTCTGCGCGAAACGTACAGAGTATGAAACCCTAGTGGCGCCTATGGCTTATTTGGTAAAATTGTGTCACCACTCTTACATGCAGCCCTCTTATATTATATTAGGCTCTTAACGACTGTGCTTTTATAATGCGTTTTTTCGTACTATTTCTACTAGATCATGGGTTCTTGTACCAAAACTTAGTACCAATAGTAGTGATGTACCTCAAAACAAGTGCTGTACAAAAACTACGGCGCCCATGCCCCCCCCCCAACCCACCCAAAAAAGCCCTACACTACACTGCTGTCCGGATATGGGATCTCTGATAACACAAATCCCTCAGCTGTTCTGTTTGATAAAGACATTCATTGCGACGCTGAACAACGCTGAAACAACACGGCGGACCAACAAGCTATGGTAAACAATTTGTGTAAACAAACCTTCGTAAACATATTTGCACACAACACAACACAAGGCAAGAAAGTAATTTACATTATTTACAACTTATGCAGTAATATTCATAGTAAGAAAAATGACCAAGTTAGATATTGTGAAAGAACAATCCTATGGTCTTTCGAAGACTTGCAAAGACATATCCGACATTGTATTGAAGATTTGAAATACATTTATAGATTCATAGATTTAGATGTACAATTATAGAATTATAGATTATCAAAATGCCAAGAAAAATATCAACTTACCTGGAGTAGTCAGACAGTGGTAACTCATACCAAAACATATTGTTTTGACTTATGGCAGAATCCTATTGTCAGCTCGCATTATTTTCTTGCTGAATCACTACACACGTAGCTTCCGAGTCATGCCGAGATAGTGTTGGACGTCGGCTAGTCTCGACTCCCGGTAATTATGACACATAAAATGTCGTGACAGGGAAGCCGGCAGGGGAGCTTGGTCGATAAGCTGCGCCCCGTGTGACGTGTTGAAAGGACTGTGTTTCTCGCTGACAGTCTGTTATAGTATGATAACACATAAGCGCTGCTGCCACGCAAGTCCAGTGTGTCCCTATGTTCCAGAAAGCTCCCCTCTTCGGGGCAGATCATACCACTAGTCCGAGGGGGGGGGGGTCCCATGAGGCAGCAACATCCGGGACATGGCGGTCGCCATATGCAAATATGGCGGCCATCTAGTTTGACCAAGTTCATGTACAAGCTTGTTACCAAAGTTTTGGTGAAGACTGAGAAGACTTCTTACTACAGTTAGTACTGCAAACTTTACAGGCCGTAAGACATGTGAAGACATCGAATGTTTACTACCATATATCGCAGTGAATCTGTAAAGCCTTTTGAATAACGTTTTCTTGAGAATTTGTCATAAGTTAGCAAAAAACGAAACACACCACTGATGCATTCAATGTAACTAGCATATTCAAACTAGTGCCAAATCTCTCAATGGTACTTGTAGGTATTATTCAAAATCTTGCAATGATATTTCAATGATATCAATATTTCTATGGCTTCTTTCAACAAAGTTTAAAGTCTTCCCCGTGGTCTGTTGATCTTCTTGGTCTTTCACGAATCTATCAATGATCTTCAGTTTATCTCAATAATCTTTTAATAATCTCCCAAGTTTTCCAATGACCTAGCAATGGTCGAAAGGGTCTAATATCTTATAAAATTATCTTTTGAGCTCAATGACTATAAATGGTTGTTGTTTGTTGAACGTGTTGTGGAAGTAGAGCCTTAGTACAATCTCAGTCGGGGACTGCTCATGTCACGGCCCATACATGTATATCGATGGTGCGCAATTATCTAATGGGCAGTTTGCACGTTAATGAAGTTATCTGGTAATGCAATTGCCTCCACTTAGCAGGGCGCCGCAATGCGTCCTGGCCTGGTGCCAACCAACGTCTCAACACCTCCTCTCAACACTGGGACTGAAGCTGGGTATTAATAGACTGGTGGGGATCATTTCAATGCATTAATTCCGAATGATATTAGAGATAACACACTCTTTTTCTTTTTCTCCCCTGTCTACTTTGTCTACTCTTTTTATTGATCTGTCATTCTCCTGCTGTCTTTCGCTGCTGTGCGTTACTTAATTGTTGTTTGTCTCCTTTTCCGTCTTTTACAGTCACTCAATGTTTTTCTCTCTCCATGTGTCTGTGTGTGTGTGTGTACATGTGTGTGTGTGCCTGGGTACCTGTGTGTGTATGTGTGTGTGTGTGTGTGTGTGTGTGTGTGTGTGTGTTCATGTGTGCCTGTGTAATTGTGTACATGTGTGTGTGTGTGTGTGTGTGTGTGTGTGTGTGTGTGTGTGTGTGTGTGTGCCTCAGTTTACATGACATATTGCATATACATATTCGGAAAAATAAAACAACTAGGACTAGTAAAGCCACCGAAACAGAGACACGCATTTCTGAAAACGGTACTAAAAATAGATGTTCATAAACTGGTCCTTCAAATAGATTTTAATTAACCAACTAGAAAGGCCAATATTTGCTTTGGAGCAAATATAGCGATGGGTTCACCACATTTTACCACATGGCAGGGAAAGAATGAGAAACACAAGGGAAAACAATGCTTTACATTGATATAACTATAGTATGAAGTAACATACAACTAAGACTACAACAGCTGGATAGCTATTCCCTACATTATTGGTTAGGATTGCATAATGCAAACTGTTGATTTTCAAGATAAAAAGAAGCGTTCATAGCCCGCATTCCAATGCTGGAGCAGGAAAGCTTAAAATACCTACCAAAACACTTGAATACAGACATACTGTCAGTATGGCATGGCTCTGTGCAGGTGTAAATGAAGTTAAGCCAGTTAAATCCCAACAGCCAATCAGCAAGGAGAATAGAGGAAAGCTGCATGCCTATTGGTTGATGCCTTGCATGCCATTGTGATGACTCATGTCCAAATGTGGTAAACACTGCACACTTACACAGTAATACATTAGCTATTACACAGCCAAAAAACTCAAATAAAACCATTCTAAAAGCCTGTATCACAATAATTTAAAAAACGCCTAGGGGTATTTGCCCACTGTACCTCCATACCAAATTTCAGGACCTTAGGCCCTAAAATGAAGAAGCTGAATCCATTTAAAGATATGGCAGGAGGAGGAGGAGAAGGAGGAGGAGGAGGAGAAGAAACATCAGAAAAAGCAATATGGTTTCACCACACCACTTCGTGGTGTGGTGAACCCATAATTAATTAATAAGCTACATGGCAAGTGTGGGATGTTCATGCGACATAGTTTAATTATACCCTGCAGCTGCATATAAATTTGATCATGTAGATCAATATAAATACAACTCTGCAAATATGAGACGATGTCATATATTCCTGACTCAGCACTGAGTTATGAACATATTGTTTACGAGGTATTAAAGCATTAGCACAATTCTGGTGCCTTCGGTCTTCTCTAGAAAATAGATTAGTCTTTTAGAATTATTAGTCTAAGATTATAACAACGGTGTAAGTTCCATATACATATATATATTTAATACAAACATATTTTCAAGTAATTCAGTAGAATTATAGTTTACAACGATTGAGGCATGCTTGTTGCTTCTCAAAAAAATATCTAGAATGACAAGTAACTATATGATGTAAATAGATGTAACCAGGGAAAATACCGAGTTTGACCATTATCCTTTTCATTAAATGGTTCAAAATTGGTTACGTTATATGCACATATTACTAGATCCTGAAAACAGACAACTTGAATGAGGAGGTTCAACAGCTCTTGGCAAAATTCCATCAGTACATTCTTCTGCCACTATTCAGAGTCATGAAACATGAAGGTCATAGTTTGACCTCTAGAAACGCGAGGGAAAGTGTCCGTTGCCGGATACGTCACATTCTCTCCTTCCAGGAACCGCAAAACTTTCGCTCTTCTCTCCAACGACCTGGCTTTTCTGTCTACGATGGACTTTAAGATAGACTTCCGAACATCTCCGTCGCTAGCTTCGTCCATCTCACTACCAGTTGATGCCTCTGGAATACTCGACAAGGTGTTTTCGTTTGAAAACAGAATACTGCAAGCTTTGGAAAAGGATCCTTTAATTCTTCTAAGACGACGTCTGTCCCTCTTAGTTGTGTCGTCTTCACTACCATGGCCTGAGTCGTAACTGTTGTCTTTCGTTTCTGAGACAGTCTTGGGAATCGTTTCAGAGTCGTAGCCACTCTCTTTCCTGGCTTTTGAGATTTTCTTAGAAATTGCTCCATCCTCAAGGTCATGTTTTGAGGAATATTTTTCTCGGTCTTCCAAAGAGGATGCACTGGCGTTAGAACCTCTACGGGAAATCTTTCCCATCCCCGCGGCATATCCAGAAGAGCTGACCGGCTGTAAGGTAATATGTTCCCTCGAGGTGGGGACGTCTCTGGAATTCGTTCCAACTCTGACGTCAGGTGTTGGTGTTGATGAAATAACCTTTTCGTTGACGTACGAAACTTTGGCGTCGTCTTTCGTACGCACTAAGTCAGTTTTGATTGCTAACTTTTTACTTTTCACCTGGCTGCCTTCCGAGTTAGTGTCCTCCGCATATTTCTTTTCTCCATCCAGTTCCTCCTCCTCCTCCTTCTCCTCTTCCTTCTTCTTCTTCTTCATCTTCTCCGATGGCTCATCTAGTAGTTCTCCTATACCGTGCTCGTACAGGTCAAGCCCTCCCTCTTCCACTTCCGGGGTCACCCTCAGCCCGATGGTGACGTCAATGACTTTGAATATTGCGGCGGAAGTGACGCCACTCCAGAGAATGAGGATGACGGCTTCCAACGTCTGCACTCCTAACAGATAAAACCCTCCTCCCTTTAGAAGAAGTAGCGAAGAGAAAATTAAATCGTACTTCAACTCAAAGAAATTGACTGACTGGAATTTCTAATCTAATCTCCCAGTCTTCATCAGCTATCTGACCCAAATACGAGTACTGTAGACACGTGGTTTTTCCCACGTGTGACGTCAGCACGTTTGTCGGAAGTCAGTGCCGCCCCCCGTCCCGGTTGAGAAAGGACGCACTTGATATCATGATTATGATATACTAGTATTATCATAATTTTTCACTGCCTTCGAAGAAAAGCCAAACCCCATAATATAGCAAATATAGTAGTATTGTATAAGTACTATATAAGACAGTAATTGTATGTTTTGTATTGCTTTTCTTTACTTCTTTGACCCTGTACATGCAATTAGATTTTTTCTAATCAGTGCAAAGTGAACCTGATCTTAACGTCGTATATCGATGATTTTCGCTTCAATATAATGTCACATCAACTTCCCCTCGCTTAATTACACATTACATTATACATAGCTTTCGGGTATAATTTGGTAAATAAAGTTATCAAATACTGAGGTATTAACAGACAATTAAATTTAAGATAGACCGTTTTACCTATACCTACCTGGTCAACAGACCGTTACAATTTAAATCTAAAACAGCCAATCCCTACCTCTATCATCCCCTGGTAAGTGTTGGTTGGTCCCTCCAGTGCTAACACCCCAAATATACCCACGGACATCACCCCCCACAGTCCGCATGCGCCGTGGACCGCCACGCCATCTATGGGGTCATCGACCTGGAAATTAAAGAATTTTGATTTGTTAAGAAAATTTAAGAAATTATATATGTAAGATGCTTCGGTGTATTTCACCAACGTTTATCAAGCACAATACTTGGCCTTCCCTGTCCTTAGTGCTGAAGGGCCTTCTCTGTCCTTAGTGCTGAAGGGCCTTCCCTGTACTTAGTGCTGGAGGGCCTTCCCTGTCCTTAGTGCTGAAGGGCCTTCCCTGTACTTAGTGCTGGAGGGTCTTCCCTGTCCTTAGTGCTGAAGGGCCTTCCCTGTCCTTAGTGCTGAAGGGCCTTCCCTGTACTTAGTGCTGAAGGGCCTTCCCTGTCCTTAGTGCTAAAGGGCCTTCCCTGTCCTTAGTGCTGAAGGGCCTTCCCTGTCCTTAGTGCTGAAGGGCCTTCCCTGTCCTTAGTGCTGGAGGGCCTTCCCTGTCCTTAGTGCTGAAGGGCCTTCCATGTCCTTAGTGCTGAAGGTCATGACTAATACTTAGATCTTTTAGTGGTAGACATTATTCCATGGATTAAGATAATAGATAGAAAGTGCTGAGAACATAGTCTCTACCTGATTCCTTTATTAGCTTCATAAATAAAACTTGCTATTTTCCGACGCCAAATTTTGTTTTATCTCTTATAATAAGTTATTTCGCTTCACAGATTTCTAAAGAAGGACAGGGAATCCATAAAAAGCCGACCACAGAAAACTAGTTTATATTTTTGTAATTCTTACCTTCAGTTTGGTCAATCCTACAGGTACAAAGTACACTAGAACGCCGCTGACTCCGCCTATTATCATCGCCGCCCACGGATGGGTGACGCGGCAAATACCTAGACAAAATTAGTAAGAATCATTTTCATACATGTCGGAGATTATAAAAGACACTTGCAACTCATATTCTTAGCGCAACAACATTTTACTGACATGAGAATATCTTGATGAAATTGACGCCATTTTGACTGTTGTATCATGGGATGGCTGTAAAGCTCACTGCTACCAGAATAATCCAGACTAAACTGTTCATTAACAAGATCTTTATAGGAGTTTACAAAATGTAATGTCTTACCTGAAACGCCGACTAGTGACCCCAATATTCCTCTCGCCAAGTCTCCCGTTTTTAACTTGCCCTTGTTGATATAATAACTGGTCAAGAGAGGACAAAGGGAAAATCTATATTAAGTATTTGTGCCCAAAAAATGCTATAAATACCGTTGTGCCCAAAAATGCTATAGTTTTCCTTCAAGGCATACAATGTTTAACACATAGCAACTGTGTATAGTCCTGATAAATATCAGAGTACTAGCAAAGTACACGTTACCTTAGAAGGATGGAAACGATGGCTCCAGTTGAAGAAGAGATGAACGTATTGACGACAGCTCTGGAAAAAAGATGACATTTTTAGGTATCGGAGGCTTTGTAGAGCACCAAAAGCGATTTTAGGGCTGTAAAACTGTATTTTCAAAGTAAATTTTATGGTCATATTCTTACTGTAGCAAGTTGAATCAACCCTGTCCCATTGCAAATCGATATCGGTTAGGCAAACATGCAATAGCGTTGGTGGAAAACGGTTGCTTGTTTCGTATCGTAGGTTGGTTCTGGCTTTTTATTTGCTGTACACAAAATGAAGGGACTCCTCATGTAGTTTGTTTTGGAGCTATTTTAAACACTTCAAGTAGCAAAAGGTATCAGACAGATTTCCTCATCCAAGTTTTTTTTTTGTTTCGTCCACCTGAAATTGCATTGGATACCATTAAATTATTCATAACAAAATTTATTTCAAATCATATCTAATCAATGTTGTATATCCGGAACTGAGATTTAAAGAGACTTTACCTCGTAGCCAGCTTCCATTTTGATCCAGTGACGCCAAACGCACTACCTATGGCCAGACCTTGACATCCGCACCTGCCGGAAATGACGTCACAGAGTTAGACATACATTTCCAACATGGCGACTTGTTTCAAAACTAATTCTACAACAAATACACCTAAGCAAGTACACGCTTACAACAGAAATTCACTGCACTACAAAAACTAGCTTGTTTGTGGCAATATTTTTTTGCAAACTGTTTTGCAGGACTACTTTTAAGAAGTGCAGCTAACAGATCTAGAATCTACTGAAATTGGAAAAAGTAGCAGAGTATTACTGAATGTAGTCTCACCAAAGCAGACATGTTCCAAGTAGCAGTTTTAGCGGGGACTCCCTGGGTGGTTGATTTTCTGGGTTGGACTTCTTCAGCCTGGCACGCAGCGTGAATAAGGCAAGTACGAGACTATGTGTTCCTCCGATCAGGTGTACAGGACCTGAACCTGACGCGTCTAACACACCTACATGTTAACATAGAAACAACCACGTCATTCATAAACATGATAGCACATACATGTACAACTAGAAAGGTAAGATTTTCAAAGCAACTGCATAGTGTTTACCTCCGCATATGGTCTGATCGGTTAATTTTTACTCGAACACATTCTTATAACGTTAACGTTGCAGAAGTCTAAATCCCTTCTACTATGAAATTGCAACATGATGTGACCTAACACTAGTTACCATGGTGACAGACGTCTGGTTCAGGTCATTGACTTTATTTGTTTAGAGAAGAAGAGGAAGAAGAAACAGAACAAAAACTATTATGTTTTGACCGTCGTGACGTTCGGTAAAAATTATAACAGGTGCATTAAATGTATCAATGTAATTGCTTTGTTTTTGTTGATGTTTTTGTTTACCTAGAGTCTTAGACGTTGTATTGGTTGAAAAGGTTGCTTTATTGGATTTTTAGCTTTTGCTGTTGTTTTTGTTTACTTACCTAGTTGTTTAAGCCAGCCGTTGTGGCCCCAGACCCAGTGCATAGGAAATGCCAAGAATAGAACATTGACGATGCAGTAAACCACGTGCGCCTTTAGCCTCGTTTTTCCCGCCATGGCGCCTGACACGATCCCCGTTGCCATGGTAACGTACGACAGGTGGTGCAGAAAGTGTGCGTACTGCCAGGGCTGGAGTGTGACGTCAGCGGCGGTGACGAAGAACGATCCCCAGCCGCAAAACGGGTTCGTGCCGTAATCCCTCCCAAAACTAGACAGAAAGAAAGACAACAAATCGAAATTTCAGACGAATTTAAAGTTCACAGACAAATTTAACCCCTGGTTCTCCTAGTGGGTGAGTTACTAGTATTCTTCACTCTCAGTGAGTTTGTATCTGTATCGGTATAGAAAGTATAACCGCCCTTCGGCGTAACAGACCAGCTTCGCAGGCACGCGGTGCGGCGGCAGCTAGCTATACACCGAACAACTTGTTACACTCAATCTTTACACATTAAATTGAATGAGGTATTTGAAGCTTTCTAGTGATGATGCCCCAACAAATACTAACTATGTCATTACCTTAGAGCGTATCCAAATATCCAGTATGCAGATCCGCCCAGGACGACACTACATATGCACTTTGTCATGATGTTGACGTCATTTCCGGTCGACACTACCGCTGCTTCCCGTAGTGCCATTCCTACATGTGGGACAGGAAATATTAGTCTCCACCAGACTTCTTTGCAGGCCGAATATATAGTAGAAAAAGATTTATATCCTATACAAGCCTTCGGGAGGCGGCTGGAAAGTGTATAGCTCTCTCAAAAAGAGAGATAACATGCCGAGGGAGTTGGCCCGCTAGAGAGTACATTTTGTCGCATCCGGGAGTGGCAAACTGTTCTCTCCAGCAGACCAACTCTCCTGGCATGCTATCTCTTTATCTAACCGATTTCTTTTCTTTCCAGCCGCTTTCCGAAGCCTGGTAGAGGCTAGAAATGGGAGGGGCAGGAGACTGCACGCACAGCCAGGGGTGTGTGGGAGCTTCAAACAAAGCCTTATGCGCCAAACCTGTGCACGTAAAAGAACCCAGCACACTCATTGAGAAGAGTAAGGGTGACCTGGTGTGGTCACCAATTTCGAAACACAAGATGTAGACTTGAAAAAATTATTACTAGTATAATCACCTCATTTGGGGACAACTGCTACGTGTATTTCCAAGAAGATATCGTTATACATGTCTGTCACGTTATGTAAATATTTCCTCACCCAGGCACATTGTTCTGATATCTTACCGAAATGACATAGAGAAGAAAAGGCAGAAAAGAACTAATTTAGGATCACAATAAGGTTCATCAGACAGTGTTTTTTTACTCAAATTCTGCATATTCTGATCATATTGTATGAAAGTTTGGGGTTAACGACCTGTTATTGTTAACACAATACGTGACATCTAGCCCCGGGGTGGACGGACCTTCTTTTGTTCTAGATTTTTCTTCTCGCTGTTATCATAACATGGTGTCGACAATAACCAGGTGTTCGTTGTGTGAAAGTAAGATTTGGGTGGTAGTTTTGCATTATTTATCATACCTTCATATTTAAGTTTAGTATTACCTATTAAAAGCTACCTACAGACCAAAAATCGTGACGATTCCTCAACCGGTTCTAGAGTTATCCCCCTTGAAACATTTTTCAACAAATGCTCCTGCATTTCTTCTCGAGCAAAAGATCCATCTACCATGCAAAGTTCACCTTAGCATGTCCAGATCATGAGATATCAAAACCGGAATTTCCGCTGCAGGACCAAAATAAGCCGCCAGGGGGCCCAAAATCTAATCATTCATCAACATCATCATCAATTTCGATGTGTCATCAAGACCTATCCACCTACCAAATATCAAGACAATCCATTTAAGCTTTCTCGAGTTATCCTGCTTACGGACACACACAGACACAGATTAACACACACACACACACACACACACACACACACACACACACACACACCACACAGAGAGAGACACACACACACACACACACACAGACAGACACAGACACACAGAGACACACACACACACAATACACGAACGCCTCCGAAAACTTATCATATACTTGCCGAAGGTAAAAACAAAGTATAGACGATGGCAGATAGAGGTGATATATTTGTATATTTGTATAAAATGTTTACAAAGAGAAAAGAGGCTCCTACCTGCTTGCACACTGATGATGACAAAAAGACTGACCAGTACCCAGGTCGCATCGTCCAAGTCAAGAAACACGTCAGGATACCCGGATGTCAATGACGTCAGGTTGGAGACGTTCATTGTTCCAGTTCAGTGGGGTTTTTTTTCCTTTTATTTCTTAAAAAGTTTTCAGTCTCTTTTCTGTTAGGATTAGACAAGAAGAGACGTTGTAATACACAAGAAGCAGATTTAATACACAATCATCCAACATGACAATTCTTATAGGAATGGGTGTTACGCCGAAAGGCGGTTATACCGGCTATACTGATACAGATACAGAATGTTTGAATAATATATACTGGTCACATATACCGTATCTATACCGCATATTGTGGTCACGTTTCATATGTACACTTAGCTACATGGACCATCGGGGGCTCTTCGGTATTTCTGCTTTGCTGGCCTCTTCGAGTACCGCCCAGTTTATTATCAAACGCCGGGGAATTTTTACGGCAATGTTTTTTTTTTTACTTTACTTTTATTGGTAACCTCGTAACAAGAACTGAAGGCCACTTGATGGTATAACCTGAAGGTAACTACAAGGTTACTGGTTACATGAATCAGACTGTAACACTGTTACCAGACTAATGTCTTTCTATAAAGTTAAGCATAAGAAAATAGCCAAAATTTTCTCAAATGCTTTACAGAGAAGCTTTGGGGGAGCCAAAGTGAATTTTGCAAGAATGAAACAAAAGGAGGGCGATATACATGACTTTTAGATTAAATCATTAACCAACTCCCATGAGGGACAATATACAATGGTTGCTGTATTTGCATATTGTTCCTTCTTTCTTGCCCGCCACATTAAAGACAACAACAAAGAGGATACAAAATCGAATAGTTTGTCGGTTGTTTGCCATCAATTGAATTTGTTAACAGTTATAGCACCCAAATGATTATGATAGCAGGTGTAGATCAGAAAGTCATGATGAAAAGTGCTTAATAATCATACAGACATTTCAGGTTAAACCTGAATGATTTTCTCTTCGGAAAACAAACAACAACATGCCCTACTTATTCATTCAACAAATTTTAGTTGCTTTGAGAAGATCTAAATCCCATTGAATATTGAGTATAAGAAATAAAAGAACGGAAAGGTAACACAGAAGCTGCTGTGTTTAATCAACATTGAGTTGTAAAGAGAAAAAAGGTGTCCTTTTGAAAATCAGTGATGACAAAACATTGTTGACAAAGACGCTAGGTCTGTACATGTGACCATACCTGTGTCGATTCTGTGTTCGTTGTGCCAGGAAGTCTATTTACACACAATCAATGTGTTACAATGTGTAATGAAGAAATACTTTGTATCTTAACAGGAAAGAAGGCGGGAAGGCGAGACTTTAAAAAGAGATCTAAAGCTGACCTGTACACGCCTGGTAGCAGTTCTATTGTTTGTGGTTTTTCTAATTCTAGTAGTTGCCATAATTGTTCCTTGTACACTTTTTGTGCCATAAAGAGTATCTATCTAATCAAACTATACTGATTTCGTCGCTTGCAAAGTTATGATCACAAAAATGTCAGTTTTGGTGAACAGTCGAGAAGGCTTTATATTTCATTACTTTGTTTGGAAATTTTAGTTGTGTCCCTTATTCCTTTGTGAAGTCGAGGGCTTCTATTAAACACCCCTATACTTTCTTACTAAGCTCGATATATGACTGTTATAGTTCTCCTTGGGAAGATTTCTAGTACATCTACACATAAGACTACTGTTAGGAAATAGAACAGCTTACCTTACTGTAACAGGTGTCTCTTCTAGACGCTCATCTTGTGTTATGTGGTTCTCAATTCTTCTTGGAAAGCCTCCAGTAAGGACGACTATTTCTGATACGGCCTCTGTGATTTGTCCAACAAAGGTTTTACACCGCAGGCGCTGTGAGTCAGACAATAAAAGGCAGGACACCTGTCCCCGAAAATCAGTGGAGCCACTCCGTTGCCATGGCTACGAACCTGGTTGGACCAGTTTGGACCAGTTTGAAGTCGTTTTCAGGCCACAGCATGTAAATTTTATGGATGACATCCACCGTAGACTCAAAATGTAATGCGATAGAGCGAAAAAAAACAAGGTGGGCCAAAAAAACAAGGTTTCTACATCTTCAAATTTTGACATCATAAACCTTGTTCAACAAGAATAAATACCTACATTGTGGTTTTGAGCGGACATTCCTCCAAAATCGGCGCACTTCAGTCGGCGGTTTGAGCGTACACTCCTCCAGGTGAGCGGACGTTCCTCCGGTTTTCGAAATCGGCGCACTTCAGTCGGCGGTTTGAGCGTACACTCCTCCAGGTGAGCGGACGTTCCTCCGGTTTTGAGCGTACATTCCTCCAAAATCGGCGCACTTCAGTCGGTGGTTTGAGCGTACACTCCTCCAGGTGAGCGGACGTTCCTCCGGTTTTGAGCATACATTCCTCAAAAATCGACGCACTTCAGTCGGCGGTTTGAGCGTACACTCCTCCAGGTGAGCGGACGTTCCTCCGGTTTTGAGCGTACGTTCCTCCAAAATCGGCACACTTCAGTCGGCGATTTCAGCGTACACTCCTCCAGGTGAGCGGACGTTCCTCCGGTTTTCAGCGTACATTCCTCCAAAATCGGCGCACTTCAGTCGGCGGTTTGAGCGTACACTCCTCCAGGTGAGCGGACGTTCCTCCGGTTTTGAGCGTACATTCCTCCAAAATCGGCGCACTTCAGTCGGCGGTTTGAGCGTACACTCCTCCAGGTGAGCGGACGTTCCTCCGGTTTTGAGCGTACATTCCTCCAAAATCGGCGCACTTCAGTCGGCGGTTTGAGCGTACACTCCTCCAGGTGAGCGGACGTTCCTCCGGTTTTGAGCGTACATTCCTCCAAAATCGGCGCACTTCAGTCGGCGGTTTGATCGTGCACTCCTCCAGGTGAGCGGACGTTCCTCCGGTTTTGAGCGTACATTCCTCCAAAATCGGCGCACTTCAGTCGGCGGTTTCAGCGTACACTCCTCCAGGTGAGCGGACGTTCCTCCGGTTTTGAGCGTACATTCCTCCAAAATCGGCGCACTTCAGTCGGCGGTTTGAGCGTACACTCCTCCAGGTGAGCGGACGTTCCTCCGGTTTTGAGCGTACATTCCTCCAAAAATCGACGCACTTCAGTCGGCGGTTTGAGCGTACACTCCTCCAGGTGAGCGGACGTTCCTCTGGTACTAGGTTAAACATGTGTTTTCAAAACGCAGGTACCTTTGGAAATTGTATTCGTTTTCCTCCTTGTACTGAATATCCTTGCTCTTTTAAAAGAGTTTGAATTGCTGTACCATCACATTCTATATGACATGTCCTTGATCATACAAAATTTCATGAAGACTTATGTTCAACCTATCTTTATTCATGCCAGAGTCCTAGAGGATATATTAGAATAGTTCTCACAAAGTCCGCTAGGCGCGCCAGTGATCTGTTCATTCAATCTCATCCATAACCTCTGGTTGGTCAAATGTTGTACACAGCATTTGCATATCGAACAGGTGGAACACAGGTTCGAAAATTCTGGATGAAACCATTGTTTCCATCTAAACGGGGGACGAGATTTCTCATTACTTTTTTTGTACCAAAGCATAATCGTAGGGTTGTCATAGAACATATGTATGTACCAAAGAATACAACCTTACAAAGTTGCAGGAAAGTGACCCTAACTTCCCTTGCATAGTCTGGGCGATTAAAACGAACTTCATTTTTAGTGTGACGTAAGCACTTACCTGTAGAAACAAATAGGACAGTCCAAAATCAGCTTCGTTCGAATTCGGAACAGTACAAGCTACAAGGTGATGAAGGTAAGACGTGAAGGTTAGTGCAGAGTTTATTTTTCCCTCATGGCAGCGCAAAAAGGCCCCGGCGTTTTATAACACTAACTCGTGCGCTTTCATGTAAACATGTAATTCGTGCGTTGGCGTTGTATAACTGTAATTCGTGGATTCCTGAGATTTTGTCAGCTTGCGCTCAAGCTGGGGGTGGGGGGCGAACTTGGAGACCCGTGTGCTGTATAGTATTAACTCGTGCGCTTTCATGTATACATGTAATTCGTGCGCTAACGTTCCTAATTCTTAATTTCTTAGCGGAGGTCGCGCAAAAGACCTTTTTCTTGATTTGTTGTATGACTATGTGTTGAAGATATGTCAGGAATTTTGTGAGTGCTACACAAAATTCCTCGCATGATATTGTCATGGTTAGTCTAGGTTTAGTGGTGTTATTTCACGTGGCTTGGTTATTTTGTATTAATTTGTAAATTGATATTGTGATGATTCTATTGCTGTGGTTTATGCCTGTATGTTGCTTGCAGTGAATCTTTTTCAGAAAGGTTCACATCAATATCTTTTCGTTGCTAAGTCAGTTTACTGGCTTAGCAACGAAAAGGGGCATCTCGCGACGCTGTTATAGTTGTAAAGCGTGCGTGGTATAGATGTTAACGTTGTATAGTTTTAACCCGTGCGTTTTATAAATGTAATTCGCGAGGACTCAAATATCACTGATGCCCACATGCAGCGCGGCGCGGTTTGACCACAACAAGAAAATTTTTACACTGCATCAATTGTGTCGTTTTTTCTGCAACCACTTGCACACACGTACACGAACACTATTGAATTCATTGTATTCCTTGTGCTCTTAGCATGGGAGCTATCATAGTAAGATCGCTTCCATGCTCTTGGGCTCTTTATGGTAGTATGATAACCCATGTGAATTAACACCACTAAAATCCATAGAATTCCAAAGACCTAGTTTATAGAATTCTATGGATTATTATTAGCATAGAGCATTTTATTTAATTAAGTTAGTTCCTCATGATTACAGTGTACTAACGATTTTTCTTCCTCATGAAAAAATGGGGGGTCTGTCCCCGCTTGTGTAGTTCTTATGGGGTTAGGTCCCACTCATGCCTTTTGCTTTATATTGCCCCATTTGGGAAAGGTGGGTAGTTTGGGTGATACGTGTTAGTATTAGTTTGTGCAACTAATGGATATCCCAATAAAGTATCAAGTTTGTAAATAATGTATATTTAATACCAAATGACCTATAAAAACGAGTTTAAAATCCATTCTTAAAATGATTATCTAAAACTTTTAAAAGGTCGTTAAATTGTTAGGCTCGTACCGAACCCCCTGGGTGTCTTATGGGGTAAGTTTTAGTTAGTTTCCCTATAGCTAGCGCCCCTCCCCTTGACTATATCGTAACTTTCTATTGCCTGTATCTTCGCACACACTCGCACACACACTTCAAAACGCTAAAATATATAATATTCCCATGCTTGAAATTTGTATAAAGTGTCTGAATGTAAGAGGTATGCAAAAGTTCAAAAACTATTTTGCATAGTTCTCTAAAATATGTGAAGAAATGTTCGATGGTTGAAATGTGTAGTAAGTAAGTAAGTAATCTAAATAAAGTGTTCTATATACAATGTTTACTTGGTTGAACATGAGTGTTCTTTTCTTCGCATTCACGCACGCACACACAAGTGAAAAAAGTCAAAAAGTTTTACATGTGACTGTTTTCAAACATATTATATGGATTCTAATGTAATGTTCCTAGTGTATTGTATATGTTCTAGTTTGTCTACCCAGTACAGGGTACGGACAGCAATGTTTAGAATCGCATCAAACTTATTGTTAACGTGTTTCTTTTCTTTTTGTCCAACATTACAGTTACAGCATATACCTGAAGACTGAATTCGAAGTGTCTACAACGCAAAGACGTCTTCTTTATCGCCGAGAATTTGAAGGAAGCAGCCACCGCAGCTCTGACCAGACTGTATGGAAACTATGAATGCATGAGTGAATGAATGAATGAATGAATGAATGAATGAATGAATGAATAAATATTAATATTCAAATTATATATATGAATATGTTGCTCCTTGTGTAAAGTACATGCTGTAGTTTGTCTTGTTCAGAATTGGACATAGTTGAATGTTGCATGGATGTGCATGGGTGAACCAAGGTGATTTTGCACAGCGTATCTAGCATTAATTATAACCTGCGCTTTCTTCTTTTCTTTCCTTTTCTGACAACACAGTTCCACCAACTGAGAGGATGTAGTTTCGTGACTGGTCGGGGGGACTCTGGTGACCACAGCTCCGATCGTGAAGACCAGCAGAAGAAAGTTGACTGTACAAGTTAGTACTGGGGCTTCTATGAGTAAATTGGGTCTTTTGACTCGAGGCATACGCGTGTTACCATTTTGTTCGCGACTTTACAAGTAATGGAGGGGGCGCTTGAATAATTCGTAAATTGTCCTTTATTTTCTGGGTGGTACCCTAAAAATCAATCCAGTAACGTTAAACGTTTTTAATCAGAATTGTGGGCATTTTTGCTCCTTTAATGTCGATATACATTGGGACAGTGTTGTTTCAACTTTGTATCTGTATCGGTATATAGCCGGTATAACCGCCCTTCGGCGCAACACACCAGCTTCGCACGGAACCCTTGAACATCTAACTCTAAACACCGTTAAAGCTATCTAATGATAATGCTTGATATTATCTAAGTGAGTAGAATATTGACTTCGAAAAATTTTGTTTCCAAGCCCTCAAAACTGCACTGAATGCCTAGGCCTTTATTACGTCTTCCATGGTACAGAAGAGAAGTCAAACCCTTCAGACATAGTTTTAGATATAGTTATAGTTCTAGACAGCTACCTTTATCGTGTAGACTTTAGTTTATTTTATACTCTATTTCATTGTTCTTTTATGTTTTGTAATTTGCAATTAGGCCACAGCAAGTAATTTTTATGGATGACATCCGCGCGCGCATTAATTTTCGCCAGATTTTGAAAAAAAACAAGAAATTTTGTTGCCCTCTGACAGTGGTCAACATGCCGAAAATGGGCAAAGATGTCTGTTGCCATGCCGGGAGACAGATAACTGAAGAGAGGAGACAAGAAAAGGCTCTGATTTAATGTTTTGTTTCTTACTTTGATGCAGTGATATGTGATGCTGGCTGTGTATATGATGTTCGCATTGAATAAGAACCATTTGTACAATGATTGAGTCAACATTTTAAAATGTAGGAACCTTGTTTTTTTCCGCCCGCCTTGTTTTTTTTTAATTTCGCCCGGTCGCATTAGATTTGGAGTCGGCGTTGGATGTCATCCATAAAATTTACTTGTTGTGGCCTTAGCCTCCGGGCACGAATTTGCAATAAACTTTTCATGAAGACTCAGTGTTCCAGGACCCACTCTCCGACGGCCAGGAGGGACGGGAAGATTTCCTCGGCCGTGGGCAGGATCTGGTCGGGCGGCAGGAGGAAGGCGTGCCGCCCGGTGTCCCGCAGCTCCACGATGTACGAGTACTTAATCCCCGCCTTGTCGTAGGTCCAGTCCTGAGAATCACCAGATACTTGGTCTATATGTGGGGACGAG